AGGTCGCTTTAACATCTATAAGATATATCTTGGCAGCACTGTTTGTAATTGCCCTAAAATAGAAAAGATGATTATCCACAATAAAAGAGAATAGATAAATATATTGGGAATATTCATACAATGGGTTACTCTACAATAAACAATATCAAGCAAATATATAACCATATATGCATCTCATAACCATAATATTGGGAAAAAATGACATAAGATTTATGTACAGTAATGGTCGCACTTTTTAATAAAACATTTAAAAACATACAAAGCAATACTTGATTTAAGTATACATATGTGAAAAACTGTATTTATAATACAGCATGGATGTAAAAAAAAAAAAATGCCAAAGGCAGGATAGTTGTTATATCTGGTACTGAAAAAAACAACAACAACAACAAAAAAACAGGGCTCCATCAGAGACAACACGGAGAGGTTGCAAACATCTTGATATTTTTAAGTAAATTTTAAGCCCAGGGATGGGTATCCAGTTGATTTATCTTAGTCTTATTATTTTGTACGTCTAAACTATTTTTTAATACCAAAAATGTCAAAAATTGTGTGCAATATCTTAATAAAAAATAAGATATTTTAAATTTGTAAATTTAGGCAGGTTGTAAACGTATTTGACAAAGTATATCATCCTCGATGTGGATGTGTGTGTATTATACACTAGAGGCCAGTGGACAGGTTTGTGTACCGGTTGGGTCCCTCAGCCTGGCCTGCACCCTCTCACAATCGGGGATCCCTCATGGGATGTGGTAGTGCACGTGAAGCAGCAGGCGGCTGGCGAGGAGCCCGAGCCCAGGCTGAGCACTACGCCGCTCCTGCTCATCCTGGCCCCAGTGCACCTGCTGCCACTGCTCCGTAGCACGGCTGCAGAGGTGGAAGAGGCTCGCGTCACCACAGCTGCACTTGCCAGCCATGAACCCGGTGGCTGGCGCCTGTCTGTCAGCTGAGTGGTGCTCCCAGTGTGGGAGTGCACTGACCACAGGGGGCAGGTCCTGCATTGAGCATCCGCCCCCTGGTGGTCAAAGCTTGTCATAGCAACCGGTCAACCAGTCGTTTGGTCATTCATTAGTTCGGACGTGAAGGCTTTTATATATACATATATAGACTAGAGGCCCAATGCACAAAATTCATGCAAGAATATGCCTTCCTTCCCCTGTCTGCCAGCACCAGCTTCCCTCTAGCTCCTGGTACCCGGGTTTCCCTCGCAGCACCAGTTTTGTCCGGAAGGTAGTCAAGAAGGATGTCTGGTCTAATTAGCATATTACACTTTTATTATTATAGATCATGCCATTATGTGCATATATATATATATATGTATATATATATATATATGGGGTTTTTTTATTATATGTATAAGGTGTAGCAAAAGTAGGTTTACAGTTGTGAGTATGGAAAACGCAGGGTTTATTCTTTTTTTATTATTTATTAATTACTGTATTATTTTCCATACAAACAACTGTAAGTCTACTTTGGCCCCAGCCTGCATATAAGTATTTGTGTATAACATATGCGTGTAGGCATGTATTTACACTAGCCATTGAACCAGCATCAGCAGAGAAAGCACTTGCAATTATTTTTCTAGCAAGAGTGAAGAAAGGATTTGTCTTAGCTGAGCCCACACTTTCATCCGGCCTTCTACCTCTATCCCATGATAAATCACATGCATCCACAGGGCAACTATCTGAGTTGCAGTTGCATCCTATGGAATTGACTATGGTTACCTGACTTACTTGGGGATTGAATCTATCAATTTCTAATTCTTTTTTAATATATTTTATTGATTTTTTACAAAGAGGAAGGGAGAGGGAGAGATAGTTAAAACATCAATGAGTGAGAAACATCGATCAGCTGCCTCCTGCACACCCCCTACTGGGGATGTGCCCGCAGCCAAAGTACATGCCCTTGACCGGAATCGAACCTGGGACCCTTCAGTCCACAGGCCGATGCTCTATCCACTGAGCCAAACTGGTTAGGGCAATTTCTAATTTTTTAATATTTTTTCTTAAAGGCGGGATGGAAAGTGCTGAGAGAGGATGTTAATGTTACCTTCTCTGGTCACCTCATTTCATAGAAAAAAAAAACTGAGATCAAGGGATACCTCAGAGATAGAATGGGTGACACAGCTTGGTGATCTCCCTGATTCTTTCCATCTATGCTTGTTGCTTGCTTTACTAAATCCACTTTCTTGTACAGATGCAATAAATGGAAATCCTACATGGAGCGTGAACCATCCTCATTCTTCTGTCCTCAGCTGAAAATGTGAATCATTTAAAGAATGCATCCCCACAAACACAAACCAACAATGCAAACCACAATAAGCTAATCAACTACTTTGAAGAAAACTGGAATTGAATTCTTTATAATAAGATTTTTTCTTTACTGTAATTCATATTTTGTAATGTATAATATGAAGTGAACAAAGAATAATTTGGAAGGGGTGGACAAGAGCATTTTCACACTTTAGGCATTGTAGATCTTTCCTCAAATCTTTATTTTTAATTGAAAATATACTTCATCATAAAATATCAGTCTTCTTAGATTACCTTATGCAATTTATGTTTTGGTAGATTGTCAGTCTCATCACAAAATCATATCCATCAGAAGACAAATTCAATTGGACATATATTTAATTAAAAATTAAAAATTAAATATATTTACTATATACTCAAAAGTAAAATTCTAGTAGTGAATACAGATAAACTTTAGAAAAGAATATGGAACCCCACATAATTTTAGAACACAAATTTTCCTCAGTGTATGCATATCATTATGCAGGAAATGAAAGGTATGATACAGTGAGCATCCTTATGCTAAGGTTTATATTCAAAATATTTCCAAAATTAAAATATACTTTATTAAAACTTGATGATTTTGTTGAATTACTACACTTATCAACTCTAAGGTTGAATTAGTTAAAAATGATTTCCAAGGATATTATTAACTAGAGGCCCAGTGCACAAAACTTGTGCACAAGAGGGGGCGTCCCCTCAGCCCAGCCTGCACCCTCTCACAATCTGGGACTGCTGGCTCCTAACCACTCGCCTACCTATCTCCCTGATCACTCCTAACCACTCTACCTGCATGCCTCATCATCCCTAACCACTCGCCTGCCTGCCTGATCACCCCTAACCCCTCTGCCTGCCTGCCTGATTGCCCCTAACCACCTCTGCCTACCTGCCTAATGCCCCAAATCACTCGCCTGCCTGCCTGTTCACCCCTAACTGCTCGTCTGCCTGCCTGATCTCCCCTAAGCACCTTTGCCTACCTGCCTGATCGCCCCTAACCATTCACCTGCCTGTCTGATCACCCCTAACTGCCTCTGACTGCCTGCCTGATTGCCCCTAACCTCTGCCTGCCTGCCTGATCGCCCCAACTGCCTCTGCCTCGGCCCCCACCACTGCAGCTTCCTCTGGAATGATGTCCAGAAGGTCGTTCAGCTGTCTGGTCTAATTAGCATATTGCACTTTTATTATTATAGACTAGAGGCCCAGTGCATGTCCCTCAGCCCAGCCTGCACACTCTCCAATCCAGGACCCCTTAGGGGATGTCTGACTACCTCTCGCAATCCGGGACTGCTGGCTCCTAACTGCTTGCCTGCCTGCCTACCTAATCAACCCTAACCACCTCTGCCTACCTGCCTGATCGCCCCTAACTGCTCCTCTACCGGCCTGATCGCCCCTAACTGCTCCCCTGCTGGCCTGATTGGCCCTAACTACCTCTGCCTTGCCCCGCACCTGGGACCCAGGATTCCCTCTTCCAGCTGGTTGCAGGCACCCAGGACCCAGGCTTCCCTCCCTCTGGCTAGTCGCAGGCACCCAGGAGCTGGGCCAGCTTCACCTGGGCCAGCCGCAGCCACAAGGGACTGTGGGTGGGCGGCTTGGCCTATACCGCAGCCACAGGCGCCCAGGACCGCTGGGCAGGCAGCTAGTCCCTCTCCCAGGCTGCAAGGCACAGCTGCTGGTGCCTGGGACAAGTGGGACCTTGGGGTGTGCAGATTGTCCGTCTCCCAGGCCACAGGAGCAGGCGTAGTTGTTAGCGCCAGGGACTGCAGGGTGTACAGCTTGTCTCTCTCCTGGGCCGTAGCCTGGCTGGTCTCCATTCCTCCTCATGAGCTCATTTGTGCCTTGCTGGTCCCCATTCCTCTCTTGCGAGCTCATTTGTGCCAGGCTGGTCCCCATTCCTCTCTCCCCAGTGTTGAGTGTCTGAGCCATTACAGCATGACGGCATGAGGGTGTGACAACCATTTGCACAGTCGCTCTTTATTATATAGGATAATATTTTAATATCTGGAATTTTATATAAAAATATAAATGAAGTTTCAGGCCTACCAATATTAATTATCTTATTATCACATATACTATAAATCATAATGTTATTTTAATATATTTAACCCTCTGCAGTCCAATGTTATTTTTGGAATTCAAACAGTCTGGTCCAAATTAATTGACGGGATTGAATGTTGAACTTTTTATGTTCTTATTGCTCGACGTTGAACCTGCTCCTAGCGCCTGGTCTGTCGAGTCAGCCTCAAGGTTGGACCAAAAAGGGTTAATAAATATTTTCTCAATCCAAATAAAATAACATGTAATATACATATGTATCCAATGTTTATCTTAAGAAGTAATTTTGGTCTGCCTGAAATGATGTTCTAAGAATTATTTTAACATGTTTACTATTTAGTTCTAGGATTGAAAACACTGTCTTATGTTGTAAAGTCTGACTTGTTTCTATGAATACTTATCATCCTGACTACAAACACTGGGATGGAAGGAAAACCAGTTGGAACTCCTCCAGGCCTCCTAACTTCTCATTCAGTACATAACATTTCTCCCTTATTGTCTCTTTGCTATAGGGAATCAGAGCAAGAAAAATAAAGGAAAATACACCCGTTTACTTGTAGGTAAATAGTTCAAAGGCAGCCCAGCCATGCTTTAAGACTATAATACTGGACTATACATTTCATTGTGATTGGATTGCAACAATCTAATGTTCCTTACTGTAGTCGCTGTTTTCGTCCTTGGTCCCGTCAATGGTACCATCTGGGTGCATCTGCAGGAAATATCCCTGCTGGCTGAATAACCTTGTCACAATTCCTTTTAGCTGGGGTTCTGCAAAACAACAAGAAATGATTATTCAAATTGGTATTTTGTTTATAAAATGCTCAATTGAAAATTGCCAGAAACATTTTCTAAGTAAATGCATAAGTGCCAAAGGCTTAAATATTAAAGTAAGTATTTGAAAAGGGAGCATTTCAGGAACATATCTTCACTTTTTATTCCTTCTAGAGGCAGGACCATAATACTATGCAGCAATAAACCAAATGTAAATAAATAAAAGTTAATTATGATTAGCAAAATACAGAGGCATACGCAAAAGTGAATTACTTCTCTCTCCCATGCATCTAGTGTCTGACTGCAAGTTTATGTTCCCATTCCAGAATCACTGTTCCAGCCGTGGGCAAACTACGGCCCGCGGGCCAGTTCCGGCCCATTTGAAATGAATAAAACTATTGAAAAAAAAGGCCATACCCTTTTATGTAATGACGTTTACTTTGAATTTATATTAGTTCACACAAACACTCCATCCATGCTTTTGTTCCAGCCCTCCGGTCCAGTTTAAGAACCCATTGTGGCCCTCGAGTCAAAAAGTTTGCCCACCCCTGGTTTAGACCAAGCTGCCACTGTAGTTCTTAAACGTCCAGCAGTAATAATCGGCTCCTGGAAGACCTCAGTTTCTGCTGAATGTCAACTATCCATCAGAAACTCCTAGGTTTTGAAATGCTGGCCAAGTTCAACCATAAAGAATGGCTTGAATGAGAACAATAGGAAAGAGCAAAACCCATGGCCATGAGTTGTCACAGAAAAGTATGTGGAAACAGATTTCACCTTCAGTAAATACATGACCAGAGTGGAGACCCAGGACTACAGTCATTTTTCCAGCCCCAAAATAAATCAATTTGTGCATATTTCTTTAATTATTTCAAACTTGAAGTGGTTGGTCCTCACTTTTAAAAACTCCCTACCTATGAATACCATCAAACTGAACTTTAAACCACATTTGGATTTTTGTACATCCCCTAAAATAAATATTTAATGCTTCTTGTTGTGGTGCTGACTGCCAGCAACAATCCATTTTTCTATAGCATCACCACCATCTTTATCTCTACTTCAGTGCTGAGCAAAAATTAGACTATTCTAGTGCATTTGTAGCCCTAATTATTTCATAAAAATAAGAACAAAAAGTTCTGTTTTTCAAGGCAAAGACAGAAAATATATGATTGAGGCAAAGATAGAAAACATATGATTGCTAAAGTGAAAACATGTTATCCTCAAAGGGACAATCACCGAATTTCAACTGACAATCAACTTCATTCTTTCACCCACTTTTTCAACCAATATTCACTCTGAATCTCTTTTTTGTCATGCAATATGCTAGGCACTGTGTGTTAAACTAGACACATTTATTCACATTCAGGTCTAAATAAGAATTCTAGTAAAGGATTCAATGAATTTAATTCTTTGGGAATAGATCTGTTCCCTATAACATCTGTCTATGATTACACTTCTGCACATATGACTTGATCACACATATTTGGGGAAATGAGGCAATGCCTATATAAACATGTCCTGTTCAAAGCAATCTTAAGAATCAGAAGAAATGCCTAAAAATTTGGAAATGAGGAAGGAGGGCCAAAAAAAAAACTGAACTGAAAATTTGCCATACTGATTTATAACTATATCTTTGTAAGTTAAATTTATTTAATTTTTGGACCATAATTTCCTCACCAATAATATCTAAAAGTTAAAGTAAGTGAACTTTAGGTCCCTCCTGTCTCTATTGACTGTGTGTATTAGACTCCTCCGCCCTGAGTGGTGGCAGAAATCAAGAAATGTGTGCATCTTCAATGTGTTGCTTCCAAGGGTCCTACCCAATCTGACATATTAGGGACATGCTGGAAGAGCATGGAGCTAGCTAACCTCACTACAAAAAAAAAATCCTGTACCCCAATTGCCATCTATCATATCATACCAACATTTCCAGGCTCAGTTCAAGATCACCTCCTCACTGAAGACTTGGAGACCATAAGTGAGAATCACTCTCATAAACAGAGGAAGTAAAAGGATACATGTGCCTCTGCTATGAAGCAAACCGATTGCCAGGCAGGCCTTGCTGTGGCACACTTAGCAGCCAGAAGACCCAGCTTTGAACCACAATTGTCAAGTGGGCCTAAGCAAGTCATTTAAAATCTAAGCACCAGTTCTCACGTCTGTATAGGGGAAAAATAATTCATATTCTAACTACAATCATTGAGAATTTCAAATTAATAAACATATGTGGTAGTAGGAACTGAAAAAAACACATAAGAGCGTAAATACAAATGAAGGTCTAATTTTTCAACCATCAAAATCAAAGAAGCAGTGTGAGATAAAAGGACTATTCTGTGAACAGACTCTGTCTTCTGATTTCTGTTTTAATAAAACAGTAATTGAGTTTGCAAAGTCATTAAAGTAAACAGAAAGCTAAGAGTAGAGGCTATAAAATGATAGAAGGAACAGGACAACTCTTATAATTCATATTTTCTTCCTATTCAGCATGATACGATCACTTTAAGAACTCATGTTTTTGTTGGTTATGAGATGTATGGCAGCTGAGTCATTAATGGCTGAAAATGATTGTTTATTTCATAATCCTCTTTTGTAGCTGTAATTAAACACTTCTTTTGCTATAGTGAAACTATCCACACCCCACCCCCACCGTTGGGGCCCTGGGAATTCAGGTTGCTTACTCTTGTTCAAGATAATGAGCATTAGGCTTTTATACCATCCCCCAGTGCTCAAGAGCAGAGCCAGAACAAACTCCAAGTTTGAGTTTTAATTATGTGATGATCTATGAAAGTGAATGCCTTGCACTATAGTTGTTTCAAAGGAGGGCTGACCATCCATTGAACAAATGTCCTGAACCTAGGATGTGTCATAGAAAACAGTATCACCTACCTGACAGGTCTGTATCTGTATTACCTCTTATTACCATCTATCAAACCCTACCAACCGTTCTAAGTTCAGCTCAAGATCAACTTTTCTATAAAGGCATGGTGATCATAACTGAGGATCACTTTTATAATTGGGGGGATATGTTTTGTTGTATTTTAAAGAAAGGATGTCAAAAGTGAGGCCATTTTTTGGCACATCTAGTATGCTGGATGCACTCACCAAACATGCTTTTTATTTGTCAGACTGTTCATAGAGGTCTAATAGATTAATAAAACCTGGTTGTCCTCAGAGAGCACCCAAAGTAATGCATGAAACATATGGATATATAATACTAGAGTGGGATAGGTGTTACATAATGGATAGAAGCAATGTGAAATGATCGCACCAAGGAGCAAGGGAATAATTCTGTCTCGAGGTTGGATGAAGGCACCTCATCTGTCACTAAAAAAGTGAGTAGAATTATCACAGGCCAAAAAAGAAAAGAGATGAGAGAGAGAGAGAGAGAGAGAGAGAGAGAGAGAGAGAGAGAGAGAGGAAGGACATTTCAGACATTAAAAAAATGGAGGGAGGCAAAAAACAGCATGGTAGACTCTGGGAAAGATGCAGAGTCTGGAATAGGCATAATATATGGCAGAGGTTCTCAAATGCTTACATGCAGGTAGAGTGACTGTTCTCAACAAATGTTCACCGGTCAATAGTGAAATAAGATAAATAGGCTCAATGGAATACATTTTTTATTAAGCTTTTTTTTTTCAATTTATGAGTCTCTTGATTCTAAGACTATGCTTTTCCATTACTTTTTTTTGTTGTTTTATTCATTGATGGCTATATTATCATAAGGAGGGGGTTGATTTGTTATCTTTTGTACTCTGAAATGATGTAGCGAATACTGTTAGCTTTTCTCCCAAATTAATTTCCTCTTTTTTTTAGGCACCCAGCTCGACCATATGTCCCAGCCTCCTTTGCAGATAGGTTTGGCAGATGCATGAGTGTCATATGGAATGTAAGTGAGTTATGTGTGTCTTTTTCAGGCCATGGATTTTAAAAGCAAATATTCTTCTCCAAATTTTCTCTCTTTTAACACTGCCTGGATTTAGATAAGAAAGCTGTAAGGGATGTAGCAAAATAGAAGAATTCTGAGCCCCTGAAAAACTGGTGGAGAAAAGATAGCCATCATAAATACCCACATCAAATAGTTAGGTGAATAAGAAATAAATTTTGACTGATTGTACACAGGGATTTCCTTCCTATATTGAAAGAGGGTGGAGTGGTGGGGAGTAGCTTTACAGTGGAGAAATCTGACAAATAAAAACACTACCTCAGTCACGTAAGTGAGGGTAACATGAACAGTCATAAATCATGTTGACAGTATGTACCCTTGATATGATGTGATGAGAAGGGCACTTTATCTCTATGATGTCCCTTCCAAAATCTCATAACCTTTGTCTAACATCAAACAAATTCCAACTGAAGGACTTTCTAAAATGTACCTGATCAGTACCCCTCCAAACTGTCAAGATTATCAAGAATAAGGAAAGTCTGAGAAATTGTCACAGCCAAGACTACATTAAGAAAACATGTTAGTGTGGTATTCTGGATGGGATCCTCATGCTAGAAGAAAAAAAATAGGTAAAAATTAAGGAAATCTGAATGAAGTATGGAACACATCAAACAAACAAACAAAAAAAAACTTTGTACAGTAAAGATCATCAACAAATCAAAAGCACAACCTACTGAATGAAAGAAGATATTCACCAATGATACATCTCATATGGGGTTAATATCTGAAATTCATAAAGAATTCATACAACTCAACATCAAAAATCAAACAATCCAATTTAAAAAATGAGCAGATGACCTGAATAGACAACTCTCTAAAGAAGACCTACAGATGTGGCCATATGAAAAACATATGGAAGATGCTCAACATCACTAATCATCAGAGAAATGCAAATTGAAACCACAATGAATATCACCTTACATCTATCAGAATGGCTATCATCAATAAATCAACAAGCAATAAGTGTTAGCTGGAGCATGTAAAGAAAAGGAATCCTCCTGCACTGTTGGTAGGATTGCAAATTGGAGGTTCCTCAAAATATTAAAAATAGAATTAC